TAATGCTGATGATTTACTTTGCAACGCACTAAATAACTTAGTTATTTTAATCTACAATTACTTTAATATAAGATGCTATTACATACCTGCCAACTCTTCCGGATTTTCCGTAAGATTTTATTTTCATATTTAAAGTGGTAGTAAATATATACTATTTTTTCTTTTGTAAATTTAATTTTTAAATGATTTTGAGCACCACTATTCTTTCAATAATTAAGCACATATATTAATATGCGTTACTATCATGGTTGTCAACTTAAGTTTTCTCAAATACAACGTATTTGTTTGCTTAAAATTGAAGTTTTAATTCCATTTTAATACCACTGGGAAAAATTATAATGGAAGGGATTAAAAGTTGGCAGGTATGCTATTATGCTTCAGCATATAATCATCTTATATTAAGTTAAAATTATTTATTTGTATAATGGTGAGTACAAATAGATTTCTTCAAATTTACTAAACTACGAATGTTGTTGTTGTCCTAGATCCTTAAGGTAAGGGGTGCGATTGTTCGTGTTATTCAGCGGGGCCATCTATGGCCAAGAAATTCGATTTCTGTCATATCCATACGCAACATCCGTTTTTTGGGTGTATCCAATCATGCATCCATCCATTCATTCACAGATCGTAATTTTGATCTGAACCAGAGAACGATCTATCTCCAATTCAGTAACCCCAAAGGTATAATTTGTTATGGGCTCATAGAGGACTTTGTGACCCGATATTAAAACTTTAGCAGAAGTAGCTGTTGTCCTGCTATTAATATCAGATTTTTCTTGAATGATTGGTAATTCTTTATTTGTTTATAAACTACCCTCATTCCTAAAAGTGGAGCTCGTTATTACAATCAATTGAGTTTTTACTTATATGTGTAATTACTTTTTTGTATTTAGAAGTGCCTCTGACAGTCAAGTTCACCGACGAAATATCACAATTTGGAGACATTTCAGGGGGAAAAGGATCATCTTTGGGAAAACTGACAAAACTGAGTCGTAAAGATAAATCCGTAAGTTTCAAAAAGTCTTAAATCTTTTCCATTCACAATTGTGATATTTTGGAATGCCACGAGTGACTAAAAATGTAATAAGTGGGGATTAATAAATAACTTGAATTTATTGAAAGAGGTTGAATTCAATAACTGTGAATTCATTAACGGTTGAATTTATTTACTTTTGCTAACATTTTTTTCCAGTTCACGGCAAAAAAGGTGAAAGCAAAGAAGGCTTTCGTTTTAGAAATGAATATTACTAAATTGTAGTAGTTACGGTTGAATAAATAAACTGGATTAAATTGAGATTGAATTAAGGGGACAAAAGACTTTCATTTTTTTAATAAAAATATCAAAGGACTGGCTTGAAATTTTCAATATAATTTTATATAAAAAAAACTTATGTTTAAGATGTCAAAAAAAGTTCAAAATTTGTCAAAATCATTTTAAACCGTATTTATTTAATGAAAAATAAAATGTGATACTATAAATTTTACTACTTCATTATAAAAAAATCTTCTGACGAAACCGGAAAAGTTGGCAAGCATGCAGTGGTGTGGGAAATAAGTTTAAATCAAGCAAAGAATTATATATAAGAACATAAACTAAGCTACCACTAGAAACTTTAGCCCTCATCATTCACGGGCGAAGTCGAACATTGATGTCGGGCATACCGGGCAAATTTATACCCGGTAGTGGCACTTAACTAGACCTAGTATACATTTCGGATCAAAGCGATTACGTGATTATTAACTTTCACCGGCGGAAGTCAACAAAAACCAATTTCGATCATTCACTGTAACATTTATAATGTGTTTATTATTTTGATTACATTTTAAGTTTATAAACCTTATACTGAAGGACTAAGTTCCCTGATTTCTAAAAGGATTGTTTTCCAGCCCCTAACGGCAGTCCTTATATGCTTGCTATCTTTGAAAAAAAAAGAGAAGAAGAACTCTCCAAAAATAAGATTAAAATTTGTTTTATTATGCCTGTTGAAAGTGATTTGCCAAGATAAAACAAAGACTTATTCAGCAGATAAATGAAACAAAAAAAAAGTGTAAAGTGTAAAAGAGAAATAGTGAAAATATAGTACTTTGGACACTTTAGATAGAGATCGATATAATTAACGTGAATTAAATTGAATGTTTATTCTTTTTCTATTTTAGTTATATTTTATGTTTTTTAAAGCATCAAATATTTAGCCACGTGACATGATCTCTTGCACTATCTTGCAAAAAAAGTTTTACATCATTGAAGTGCTGAAATATTTAAAAGCAACCAAACTACCGCATAAAATTCATATACGTATCGATAATAAAAAAAACGTGTTACAGTCATTTTAATGAATTTGGAAAAAGCTTCGAAATGTATAGAAATCTTATGAAGCCGCTCACAAAAATCTTTTGTTGGTTCTTCGGTAAAATTTATAGCAATGTTTGACGAAATATTTTTTATCTAAAAACATTCATAATAGCCATGTCGGGAACCGTAAATATTCAAGATGGTGAATATTAAGCGCAATAAAAACATGAAATTTTAACATAAATCTCAAGAATATTGTCAAAAAATAATGTTAGTTTCTACACAACAAACAGTGGGAAAAATCTTTGACAGGCTTAGTAGTTTGTTAAGTATTATTCAAATTATCTTCACGTTTAATTTTATTGGCAAAAATGATTGCATGTTAGGCATAAAATAAGCATATAAAAAAGAAAATAAGCTTTTATATTTTTGAGTGCAATCATCAAAAATTCGGTGTTAAAAATTTGGGTTCATTGCTTAGCTTTAAAAGGACGTATTTTACACTAAGCCCCATTGATTTTTAGGAGTGTAGCAGACAAATGAACATTTACATATTTCAAACTACACCTATAGAAGTGTAGTTATAAGATTAATTAGTTAGAGTATGATTTTAATGAAGTGTATTTAATAATTTTAGTGTACCTGCAGGCTTTCTTATCAATCCTTATGGAGATATGGTTATTGTCAAGGATATTGACTTTGCAATAAAACCATACAGTCCAGTTACTTCAACACGCAATTTTGAAGCAAAGTTTACAGCAGGTAGGTTAAAAGTGTTGATAAAATAAAGTTTCTTCTAGCTCAGCCTGTAGCTCTGTGCGAGTTCATGCTATGATTTAAAATTTAAACTATGGTTTAAAACTATAACTATACAATAGTAATGTAATAACCATATATATAGTAATATATTGTATAGTAGTAACTATGTATAGTATAGTAATAATTATATATAGTAATATATAGTATTGTAATATATAGTATAGTNGTGCACAATGTGCTTACGCCACATACGCTTACATCATGTCGCTGATCTTGTAATTATGAAGCCTAAAAGCTTTTATTGGTTTATTGACCGACAATTGGCTGTTACGGGAACACTTTCTTTTTTCATATCTATACATGATTTCTAAATCATTTTCTCTTGATGCAATATTTAAACTGAATTTTTCATAACTAATATGTTATAACTTCCTGAATTTCAGATTTGAAATCCCGCACTCGAATTATACAAGATAAAGTACTTGTATATGTGTAACTAAAAGTTTGTTCCTCAGTGTAATCAATGCTTGTTTTTAGAAATAAGAAAGGTAGATAATTTCAAATATTAAGGTAGATTATTTCGAATATTTTAACGTTTTATAGGAGAGTCCTGCAATTTAAATGGAAGCATGTCTCATGAGCCTATAGTTCTGTATAGTGGCCAGGGTTGGAGTGGATTTTTAGAACTTTATTTCCTCAAGTTCACTTTCCAGACTAAAACAGGCTATGGGCTGTTTTTATCAGGGTAAGTTATTCCTTTTCAATTTAAAGATTTTATTTGTTTTGGGAGTATTTGACAAAATTATGCAATATCAGTCGCGACTTCGAAAGATAACTTTTATGATAACATATGCAAATTAACCTTTTTGTTATAAATTTAAATTTTTTTTTTTTAAAATATTGTCTTTCAGAAATTATAAAAAAACATGCATTGGTGCATATATGTTCCAATAGAACAAAATCATTGACAAACGAAAGACGTTGTCAAAGTTAAACTTTTTCTTGTTGAAACAAAACGTTGTAATAAATGTTTTTGCTTCTTGTTTTTTTGATAGGGAAGTGTATAACGAGCCTGCGACACCCAAAATTCCTATGCTTCATACGGTATGTCCGAAAGGTAAGTTATGTTTATCTTATTAAAGTACGTATAAAGTTTCAATTCTTCTCAAATTTATTATTTTTCAAGCCGAAATCATCTTATAAATCTTAATGAAAACTTTGTAGCTACCACTACAATTATTAAAGATTAATTTTTAATTAATAAAACATATTACTATTGATATTAATTGAAGTACAAATCGGCAAGTAAATGGTGAGGCAATCGAAAACACACTCGGAAATCACCTTATTATAAGAATGTGAGGGGGATGCTTTATTAAAATAATTAAGTTGTTTAGTGGAGTTCAAAACTAAATTATGTATATATCAGAATTAAACAGAATAATGGAAGTATTAGCTATAATACTAAACCACACGTTATTAAATATTTTGTTAAAAAAGGAGCAGTTGGTATCCATGAAAAAGATTAAAATTTCTCAGTTTTCACATAATGAAAACTCCGACCTACCACACTTCTAAGTCTTGAAGTGGTATCTTAAAAAAGAATATTCTGTTACAAGGTTCACTAGAATCTGGAAAAAATTTAAAAGAGGTTGTTACCATTTTAATTTAACACGTTCACGCCGTTGTGACCTACTGGTGGGTCACGCTAGATTGTCTCATTTTTGCAGCGCACCGGAGTAAAAACTGGTAACAATAAATTTCATTTTTTAGTTTTTTTCCGGGAATAATAAAAATCCATAACTACCAATTGTTTTTACCGGGTGCAATTTTTATATTAAATTGCTTCTTCGTTGCTCATCTTATATTAAGTTAAAATTATTTATTTGTATAATGGTGAGTACAAATAAATTTCTTCAAATTTATTAAACTACGAATGTTGTTGTTGTCCTAGACGCTTAAGGTAAGGGAAGTGCGATTGTTCGTGTTATTCAGCGGCGCCATCTATGGTCAAGAATTCGACTTCTGTCATATCCATACGTAACACCCGTTTATTGGGCGGATCCATTCATGCATCCTTTCATTCCTTCACAGATCGTAATTTTAACCTCAACCAGAGAACGATCTATCTCCAATTCATTAACCCCAAAGGTATAATTTGTTATGGGCTCATAGAGGACTTTGTGACCCGATACTAAAACTTTAGCAGAAGAAGCTGTTCCCCTGCTATTAATATCAGATTTTTCTTGAACGGCTGGTAATTTTTTATTTGTTTATAAACTACCCTCAATCCTAAAAGTGGAGCTTGTTATTACAATCAATTGAATTTTTACTTATCTGTGTAATTACTTTTTTGTATTTAGAAGTGCCTCTGACAGTCAAGTTCACCGACGAAATATCACAATTTGGAGACATTTCTGGGGGAAAAGGATCATCTTTGGGAAAACTGACAAAACTAAGTCGTAAAGATAAATCCGTAAGTTCCAAAAAGTCTTAAATCTTTTCCAATCACAATTGTGATATTTTGGTATGCCACGAGTGACTAAAAATGTAATAAGTGGAGATTAATAAATGACTTAAATTTATTGAAAGAGGTTGAATTCAATAACTGTAAATTCATTAACGGTTGAATTTATTAACATTTGCTAACATTTTTTTCCAGTTCCCGGCAAAAAAGGTGAAAGCAAAGAAGGCTTTCGTTCTAGAAATAAATATTACGAAATGGTAGTAGTTATGATTGAAGAAATAAACTGGATTAAATTGAGATTGAATTAAGACGACAAAAGACTTTAAATTTTTTTTTATAAAAATATTAAAGGACTGGTTTGAAATTTTAGCCCTCGTCATTCACGGGCGAAGTCGAACATTGATGTCGGGCATACCGGGCAAATTTATACCCTGTAATGGCACTTAACTAGACCTAGTATACATTTCGGATCAAAGCGATTATGTGATTATTAACATTCACCGGCGGAAGTCAACAAAAATCAATTTTGATCATTCACTGTAACATTTATAAAGTGTTTATTATTTTGATTACATTTTAAGTTTATAAATCTGTGTATATAATGTGTTTAACATGTAATATGAAAATGTGTTTATTTCATGCTGTAGTTTGTTGTTCCTAAAGGAATCGTAGTTACAACATCTGCTTATGAAGAGTTTTTGACTCCTGACATACTAAATGCAGTGAAAAAATTAGAAAACGTTGCTTAGTGAGTAGTTCCTTGTTTATAGAGTTAATTTGATTAATACAGTTAATTTCGTGGCAAAATTTGATTTTTTTTTTAAAGAATTACTTCGTGATTGTGAGTTAAATTCATTGTTATTTTTTGTTCAATTGTAGTGGAAACGTTAAGGGAGATCTAAAAGAAGAGTGCGAAGTGTAAGTTGCCGGTTTCGTTGTTTAATATTTTAAAAATTTCACTCCTTCAAATCAATAAAAAAGTGTATCTAAATTGATAATAATTAATGTTTGCAATCTTTGTAGTGTTTCCAGGAATATTTTGAACACATCAATCCAAAACAAAATTGCTCAGAGTATACAGGAAAACTTGAAAGTAGTCTTTGGTGACGGATTTAAAAACTACAAGTTTGCTGTTAGATCTTCGGCAACAGGTATTTGAAAGTACTTTATTGTGATTTCTTCATTTTATTTATATTCTTAAATGGGTATTACTATCAATTTATAATTGCATCATTTGCCTACGCATTGCCCCATTTTGAGACCGGTGCAGAGATTAATAATTCTAATAGACATAGATATTACCATTGAATTAAATGGTAAATACTTGATTTATTTTATTAAAAGAACTTTTTGAATCTCTCTAAAAGGATGTGAGTACGAACAGAGCTTTATAGTCGACCTATTATTTAACACGTTGAATACCACGCTAATTTTGCATGACTTGCTCGTCTGGCCACATCGGTAAATAACTACCAATTAAATTTGACAGATTTTACTAGTTTTTAAAAAGCTTTAGCATATATCTGTTCGTTCGTTCGTTGTAGTGGAACTGGGCATCTGAGGCCTTACGGTCCTTTTCCCATTCTTCCTGAAATTAAACTAAGAAACATACATGGCAAAATTAAAGTTTGGGGAGCAAAATGGAGTTCTTGAGAGAAGAAAAGTGGCACTTTGTCATTATTAGGCAATAACAAAATTACAAGTAATAAAAATGTACATAGAAAAAGGTAAAATAAAAGTATATCATATCTGAACAAAGTGGTGAAGTATATATGCCTAATTGCTTAAAAATAGTGGTGGATAAAAACCTACTAAATTGAATTTATTAAACCAAGAATCACATATAATAAACTACCACTTGAAAATATTTATTCGCTGTCTGGAGCAAGTTGGCATCTCTGTGTATATAAAGAAAACTATTTTTGTGTGTTCTATATTACATTAATTTCCTCAAACCATTTTAGTAACGATAATAATATAATAAAAATCAAAAATTTACTCGATTCATGTGCTTCTAATCACCTTGGCTTCGCCGGTCTCCGGTGACTCCCGGAGTGCTACGAACAAACTCAGCGACGGTCACCGGTAACCTCCTTGGCATTCAACGTGTTAACTTTCGCAACGTAAATATGCTTGATGTAACTATGAAAAAGTGCGATTAACACGTTCACGCCGGGGTGACCCACCGCTGGGTCACGCTAGATCGTCTCATTTTTACAGCGCACCGGAGTAAAAACTGGTAACAATAAATTTCATTTTTTAGTTTTTTTCCGGGAATAATAAAAATCCATAACTACCACTTGTTTTTAACGGATGCAATTTTCATATTGAATTGTTTCTTCGCCGTGATAAATTTTCTTACAGTGAATTGTAATGGCTTGGAATAGATTAACTCCTCCCGAATATTATCTAATATTGAAATAGTTCTTCTACCAGTATTTTCTCTTTTCCCGGCGTGAACGTGTTAAGTACAGTTTACCTCTTATGGCATAAACTTAGACATTTTTACAACAAATTCTTTATGTTTTCCGTAATTCGACAACCCTAGAATCATAAAACATATTTTAACCTTTTCGGGACGGGTGAGTCATAAATGTATTCGTACGGAATCAAATTCAAGATAGAACGAAATAAAAAGCGGTAAGGTAGGGGAAAACTAATTTGGCAGACTTATTTTTGCTTTCAATTTAAATCCAACACATACAACCCTGCTAGTGTGTTAAAAGTGTAACTATACAATTTTTAATTCGAACTAAGTAGTGGTGAATTAAATAAAGCAAACTATTATTACCCCGCTCACAAATAAGCTGCAATAAAAGTAGTTCGGCTACTAGTTTCATCTTTTTTTTACCATGATTATCGACACCCTGAGAATGCATATAACTTGCTTGTCTTTTCCCATTCATCCTGAAATTAGACTAAGAAACATAGATGACAACAATAAAGTTTGGGGAGCAAAAAGGAGTTCGTGAGATAAAAAAGAAAAAAAATGGCACTTTGCCATTATTAGGTAATAACAAAATTACCAGTAATAAAAAAGTGCATGAAAAAAGGCAGAATTAAAGTACAATGGGAAAATAAACACTAATGAATATTTACAGTTTCGGAATACATACAAAAGGGGGGTGAGTTAAAGGAATGTAAGGATGTGTGTAAAGTTCGTTTACCAGGAGTTGGCACTTGGCTCCGCCTTCATCACGTGGTATCGGATGATACTATTTCGCTTTTTTGGGGAGGAGGATGTGAACAAGGCTGCTATTTGGCGATCGTATGACAAAAATATTTATTTCGCAATCTTCATGTGCATATTTTGAACATGTGCATTTTATTTCATAAACTTGTTGATATTTCTCTCTTTTTATTGAATAGTTTGTTCTTTTTGAGATATTTTGCTGGGAAAAAGTTTTTAAATATAAATTAGCTAGAATAACGAAAGGTATAATAGCTGATGATAAAGCGAAGTAAGTGACTGAAAAAGAATTCACTGTTTGTGTTTGGCCATCACCTTCTACATCAGAAAGCCTCCACACGGTTTCTTATAAGTAGTCTGCGCAGACTATTTAAAAAGTGAACAGTTTGAGCGCATGAAACCAAATTCTATTTTAAAAGTGACTGAGAGGAATTTGTCATATATATTTGAGAATTGAATCTGTAGTGGTAGACAAGTAAATAAGACAAGCTAATCATATTCAAAAATTAAACAAATTTTTAGACATATATTTGCTACCACTTTCTTATTTTTACTAGATTTTCTATTAAAGGGCTCTTTCGTAAACTGGTTTGCCTTCATAGTGGTCTGATCGGACTACCTATAATAAGACTTTGGAGATATGGAGACTTTGCGCGCATTAGAGGTTATCTTGATTTCAAGCGGGGAAATGTTTTTCCTCTTACTCCCCGCGCTGAAATGAGCTCTGCGTCCGAGGAGGTGGAGCCAAGTGCCAACTCCTGGTGAACGAACTATAAATAAGTGTGGCTCTGTTAAAGTAGAGACGTGGCAGTCTTGCTCTCTACACTTAAGTTACAGGGATTAGCTTACCCCTGATCAGACCCCGAGGGGTTAATTGACGTCTTCAGTTCGAAAATGAAACATTTGGGACAACTTATAAAATTTTTGGGGTGGTAAGTTTGAGTTGGGCATAAAATGCCCATTTGGTCATAAATTTCCGGGAAGCGAATTTTGAATTAAAATTTTGATTTCATTTAAGTTTATTTTCTAAGAATTGCGACAATCTTAGGAGCGATAAGTAAATGGTAGTTAAACTATTCTAAAATAAATTGTTTGTGGTCGGAATAATATAATTTAATTAATTTCCTTCATCACGTGGTATCGTTAATAAGTTTTTTGTTTGAACGAATGTCTTAACTATACATTTGTGTACTTGAATTTAATGTAATCTAAACTAAAGAAGGCTTACACATGTAAAATCCTTACAAGATATTTTTCATGAGTATACATAATATTTTGTTATTTACCATTTTGTTTCTGATTACACAAATTTGATTTGTAATTATTTTGACCTCCATTGATAAATATTTTGAATAACACTATAAAACCACATAATCCAGACGTGATGATTTTTATCCTTTTTGGAACAGCACATTTTGAATGAAAACTTAAGTCAAGCAAGAAGTATCTCAGGGATGCCAACTGCTCCGCTTTCTGGAATAGTTTTAATAAAGTGGTAGCAAATTATATAGTAAAGAAACATAGTTACGCCTACATTTTAAAATAGTAACCAGAAGTTTGATGCCCTAACGTTGCATTTTATATCATACATTAAATTCTTGATATTTAGTGGTGTAAAAATTACTAATAATGAAAATACTAAACTAAAAGTAAGTTAGATTTCGCTACCACTAGAAAATACTATTTTACAAAGCGGAGCAGGTTGGCATCTGTGGTATCCTAGATAACAGATTCTGAATGAAGCAACATACTTTAGCTCTTTTTTATTTAAAGAATAGTTGATGCTAAACGTTAAAAACCAATTAGTGTTTTATAATTAGTGTTGCCAAGTTCTCAACGCTCCACCGAAAACGGTTAAGTAATGGCAAAATGAAACAAATTTATCTTACCTAAAATGCTATTTTGCTTCCATTTTAAAAAATGTAGTGAGTCAAGACCAGGGGCGTACGCAAGGGGGACAAAGTGAATTTACAAAATAATACAG